AACGACACCCCAGTAGCAATGAACGCACCCCGTACCAGACCTTGGTTCTCAACACCGTTCTCCACTGAAAGGAACCAGAGCTCCTTGGAGAAATGGAGGATCCTAGGTCTGGGGCAGGAGAAAATACCAGATGAGCCTGAGGCACGTTTTAATGCTAGAAAATAAGGACGTGCTTGAAAAGCAAAAAGATGAGGCATGTCAAAGGGATACAGGAGCCAAGCAGGAAGAACCAAGGCTAGAACAATTTGAGTGTCCAAAAGGATATTAAACCTTTGGAGAGGAGTGTGACTGGGAGGCAGCACCAGGGAAGGTCATATTATGTATTTATTATGTATATATTTCCATCTGGAGGAGACAGATACATGGGCATATCCATTTAAAGAATCCATTGAGCTGTACATGGATGATTTATGCATATTACTGTATGCATGCTGTAGTCCAATAAAAATGACCCCCAAAATGACACTCTTGGATTCTAAGTTGTTAAATGAAAAAGCAGTGCCATCCACTGTGATAACTGAGAAAAGAGAGTGGCGGTGGGGGGAAGGAAAGCTCTTCCTAGAGAAATACCAACTAATAATTGTAGAAAATCAGCCCACGTCTCTCCCTCTCCATTGCTAGTCCGACCGCATACTCATCAGAAACAAGTACGTGCTCAACAATAGAAACAAAAACCATTATTTTAAAAATGTGCCTACAAGTTCTTTGATATTACTCCTTACAAAAAAAAATGGAGCTTAATTTCCCTCCTTTGAGTGTGCACTGGCCTTACTGATTTGCTTCTAACAAACAGCACATGGAGGAAGTTACACTGTGGAAATCTGCAAACCAGGTCATAAAAGGCTTTGCAGCTTCAGTCCTTTACTCTTTCTTGGCTAACTGTATCAAGGGAAGCCAGCTGCCACGTAATGAGATGAGATCCAGGTGTCAAGAAACTGATGCCTCCAGCCAACAGCCACGTGAGCTAGGCTAGAAGCAGATTTACCAGACCAGACAAGCTTTCAGATGACTGGAGTCCTGACCAACGTCACTGCCACCTCATGAAAGAGCCTTGTGGATGAGCTGGGACACTTTTTCATCTGCAGGGAGCCTTTGTACTTCCTTTTCTGTGAACTCTTTGTTCATATCTCCTTCCAATTTTTCTTTTCTTATCAATATTTATAAGTTTTTTTATATTGTTGGGGTAGTAACTTTGGCTGTGACATAAATGGTAAAAGAGTTTTTCCTGTTGGTCATTTTTCTTTTTATTTTGCTTCTGGAGAGATGACATGCCAACTGTTTTAGTGTTATTCAATTGATCGATCCTAACTTTATTCTTTTTAAATATAAAAACCTACTCTTTTTAAATGTAAAAAATTCTGAAGTTTACCTGGAGCAATATAATGAAAAAGTAACCAGGAACATGCTAGGAAAGGATAGTAATTGCAGAAAATAGCTCCTAGATCCATAAAATGCTTAGCAAAACAGATGCAATATGCAACACGCTACTGCACAGTGTGTTTATGTTAACAGAGAAAGTTCCAGGATGACTTAGAGCTGGATGGACACACGACGATTTCTGAAACCTTGCTGAGGAAAAATAACTCGACATGGGCAGAGGATGGCAGGACGAGCATCAGAAGCTTCACACATTTGCTTTGGTCACATTCTCCAAACGCTCTGAAAACAGCAAGACATGGTCAAGGAAGACACAGCCATTCTAGCCTAAACAGAAAACAAAACAACCCAAGGAGCCCAATCCTCTCAAGAGCCTTTCAGCTATTTCCTTCCTTTGTTCTAAGCACTAGGCTCCAGTCAGAGAGAACACCCTGCCCTTTCCGATGCTAAAAAGAAACTGGAAGAAGTGAGCAAATGATAAGGTTGTTCAGGTGGAGAAAAAATCTAGGATGGATACTGTTGCATAAGCAGCTGACAGAAACGCAATGTAAAAAGAGAAAATGGACTTTGGCTTCCAGTCCAGCAGATGAGGCACTTGGAAGTCTGTCTGTCCTAATAATCAGTAAAATGCTGAACAAACAAAATCAACTCTTCCTAGATCTGCCAGACAATGAAGGTCAGATACCAAGAATCACAACCTAACAGGACGAAGCCCCACAAGCAGAAACCTCCATGAGAACAGAATTGTGAACTAGAATTGTAACCAACTGCTGGAGGCTCAGTGTGAACAAGGCTGAGGGATAAAAAACTCCAGGGGGAACTGGTCATAGAGGCTCCACATTTTGTGAGCTTTACCTCAAGGAGCTCTGTCTACGAGGTCCTCCCAGGGAACAATGGAGAGAAATCCTCTCATGCTTCTGGCAGGGGGTAAGGAAAATACCCATATTGACACCCACTGGACCACCCCGTTCTTAACAAGATCTGCCCACCAGAGAAACTAACCAGAGCCTGAACTACTAGGGTTTTCCAGAGCCTAACTGCCTGGGAAGGGAAGGAAAATGCACAACTCCAGCTCACTCCAGCCTCACGGAACCTCCAGGGGGAGGGAGGACTGAGAAGCATGGGTGAAGTTCACAGCCCAGGGGTACAGGCTCACCAAAGACTGACACCTAATCGTAAGACAGACTGCTTCCCTCCCTCAGCCCTCACCACCACATTACTAAAGGACTATTTACAGCAGTTGCTTTTACCCAGTACAGCATGCCCAATTATCAAGAAAAAAGTAGCAGGCTACTGAAGACAGAAAATGCACTTTGAAGAGACAGAGCAAGCATCAGAATCAGATTCAGATGAAGCAGAAATATTGGAATTATCAGACTAATAAATTAAAGCAACCAAAAAATATGATTAACATGTGAAGGGGCTCTAGTGGAAAAAGTAGACAAAGTACAAGAAAAAATGGGTAATGTAGCTGTGAAGTAAAGGCCTCTGCCTCCCATTCAAGCAGAGCCACCAACTCAGCAAGCACCTGCTCTCAGAACCAGCTGGGAATGAGCCTGCCTTCCAGGGACCTGGCCCTGTCCCACGGCCCTCAGCACACTGTCTTATCATATGCCTGTTCACAGGGTTGTCTCCCCAG